TTACTCAATAGTACCATTATGTTTATCGAACTGCAGTTGTGTTGTATGTTGCATGAAAGCAATCACATGATCGTGGTAATTGTTATTTCTTCTCAGAAACAATTTTCGTTGCTAATGCTACGTTTTTGTAGCTGAAGTTCTTTACTTATTTACGTACTTGTTTGGCCCAATCATATTCTGTTACAGATTCATGCTTACGTGATATTGCTTTATAATATCATCCGCTTTATTTTTAATGTGGGCGTGACATTTGTAAATTGATGTTAACTGTTATGCTGCTTTATATTGCAAACTAGTACTTATTATTATGTTATTTTAATTTAGTATCATAATCAGAAAAACACTGGTTTGTAGCGCAATGTTTACTGTAATGTTACTTTGTTATTCTTCTAGTTATTTACCAATAGCGGATAATAAACCAAATTCTGTGTTTCCGCCGCGTTGCAACATAAAGTGAACACTATAAGACTGACTGTATTGTTTTTATGTGGAGCTATATGATCTGCTCTTACTCTAAGCCTAAAGTTCTCATAACAATGACAGTGTAAGGGCTGGTGGAGGGTGTGTGTGAGGGTTTTGTGTTGTGATGACAGGTTGAGCTCTTCTTGTGTCTTTTCTAAAGGTGAAAAGGTAAGAGCTTCATTCTCTTTGTCTGTGACTCATGAATCATGAGACAATGCAGAGATACTCTTCAGACAGTGTTATCAGACCGCTGAAGACCATCTGTCAATACACACACACACACACACACACACTAGCTCAGCATGGCTAATCCGTCACCCTGATGTTTCTGACCTGTGTGTTTAGGCAGATTTTCTCTTTTGTGAGATTACGTTGGCCAGGGTCAGAGCTGGCCAGGTGTCAGGGTGAGGAAGAGAAGAGAAAAGCTCTGGTTTATAATGACCCTACAGACCTAAAACACATATGTATTGTGACATGACACATATATTATTAAATAAATAACAATATATATGCATCCTCGATGAGCAGAAGTGTGACATACATTTCTTAATATATATATATATATATATATATATATATATATTAAAATATATAGAATATATTGGAATAATTAC